CTCGTTCTCTGCACCCTTGCAACCGGGGAGTTCGCTCCCGCGCACTGCGCCCCCCCGCCGCCGGCCCCGGTGCAGTGGCCGCCGCGGGCCCGCCGGCGGGGCTGGCCACGCCACGCGTTCGGTCCGTGACCCGTCCTTCTGAGCGGCTCGCTTCCCCCCCATTTTTCGGCCGCCTCCTTTGCCTCTGCCCCCTCCTGCATGTTGGCACACTTCGCTTCAACGGTATCTCCGTTCTAGCTCTTTCTGCTAGCGCAGACGACCCCTGCCACGCCGCCGACGCAAAACAAGTGCGTGTGTGTGTGTGTGTGTGTGTGTGTTTGTGTTTGTGTTTGTGTTTGTGTATGTGTATGTATGTATGTATGTATGTATGTATGTATGCATGTATGTATGTATGTACGTACGTCTGTCTGTCTGTCTGTCTGTCTGTATGTCTGTATGTATGTATGTATGTACGTACGTATGTATGTATGTATTTATGTATGTATGTATGTATGTACGAATGTATTTATGTATGTGTGTATGAATGCATGTATGTATGCATGTATGTATGTATGTATGTATGTATGTATGTATGTGCATATATGTATGTATGTATGTATGTATGTATGTATGTAGGGAGGGAGGGAGGGAGGGAGGGAGGGAGGGAGGGAGGGATGGATGGATGTGTGTGCGCGTGTGTGTTTGTGTGTGCGCGCGTGTACTTTTCCAATCCGAGCGTTTTCGGTCCTCCTAAACTATTGCTCCCGCTGCAGCGCGGGCCTCATTGAAGGATTGGCGCCTGCTCCCGTCGTTCAGAATTGCGCTCTCGCCTCAGAGCGGGCTACTTTTCTGGATTCGAATCGTTCCTCATCGTTGTCGCCCCCCTTTCCCTCTCCTCCTTCGCCTTCCCCCGGTCCCCCTTCTCGTCCCTCTCCTGCCACTCTAGCTCCTGCTGCTGCTGTTCGTCCTTGTCTCCCTCTTCCTCATCCTGCTCCTTTTCCTCCTGCGCATCCTCCTGATCATCCGCCCTCTTTACAGTGCACAACGCCTGGCGCTGCGGGCCCCAAGGAGGCGAGTGTTGCGCCGCTTTCCGCGGCTGTGTCCGCGCGGCGGTCGTGGGCCACGCGCGCGCACAGCGCCTCATGCAAGAGGCCCCGCTCCGCCATGTAGCGCTCTTCCTTCCCCTCGCCCCCCCCCCCTCTGCTCCCTTGCTGCCCGCTTTCTGGTCGTTAGTCTCGTGTGCCTGGTCACCCTCTCGGCACTCCGAGTTTCTTAATAAGCGTCGGGGGGGCGTCACCCCCGCCGACAGCCCCACATCGACCCCCGTCGCGGGCAGCCACCGCTCGCCGAAGGCGCTCCGACCCCTGCGCACCGTCGCCGGTCGCGCATTCGGGCTTCAGGCCAGCCAGTCTCGGGCCGATACGATGTCAGGGTTATTCGTATCATCAGGTGAGTGTCTTCCCTCCTCCCTCTTGCTCTCTCCCTCTTCTTCCTTCTCCTCCTCCCTCCCCCTTTTTTCCTTGAGTACCCGCCCGGCCTTTCAGTTTACGCGGTCGTTCACGGAGCTCGGACCCAGAGTTGTATACCTACGCAGGTTGTGTAAGTGCCCCGATCCCCTGGCTGCCGGTAACGGCTCGCCTATCGCCGGTTGGCCTGGGCGCTGCTCCAGGTGTTCTGGCTTTCCTCCTCCTCTTCCCCTCCTTCCCCCGTTTTTCCCCTGCCTCCTTCCGCTCCTCTGCTGCCTCCCCCTCCATTCGTTGCCGGTGTTTTTACTTCTGGCCGCTGTCAGGGTTCGAAGCACTTGCAGCACGGGGTAGCTGATTTTGGCAATCAAGCTGCCCACTCTCAAGCAGTGGCGAAGCATCCTGGCTCGCCTATAGGCCTACAAGACAATGTTCTAAGAACTTGTTGTGGTTTCCTCGATTATGTTTGGGACATTTCTGGCTGAGACTGTCGTGTTTTAAGACATCGGGCTTATGTTCTAAGAACATTGTTTTTGTTCTCAGAACATTGTTGAATTCTAAGAGAATTTCGTGATAGGCCTATAGGAATGCCAGGACGGTAGGTTCCTGCTCAGCACTCCCCCCTCCTTTCCTCCTCCTCCTCCTCCTCGACCGCTCGCCCGGGCAATCATTGTCGCAGGAAGATTATTTTGCTTGCGTCTGTTTGTCCAGGGGGGGCAGGATTTTTCCGCCCCAGCAGGCGCCTACAGCAAGCAGCAACGTATTCGTGGCGAGGCTCGATCTCATTTTTGCTCGAATCCCTGGCCAGAGTTTCGGCCACGTTCGCAGGACAGCCTTGCGACGAACATGAGTTGTGTATGATATCGTTGTCCGCTCCCATCCCCTGCTCCTCAAACATCCTTCTGATCATCCGCCACCTCCTCCCCCGATGCACTCAGCTCCCCTTGTTTCGCTAGCGCATAACACGATGGGGTCCTTTCTGCAGTCCCAGATGTGCTATGGCACGCGCCAGCGGGTAGAGAATATCAGCGTAATGGGAAGCGATGGGTGGGAGGGTGTAGGATGTCAGATATGGCGCGAATGCCCCGAGCTTGACAAGTACGCAATATGAATACTACTATTCTCCTCTGTCACCCGAATCTGCCAGTGAGGTGTCCTGGGGTCCTCCGCGTATTGTTTTTGAGCACAGGATGCCACCGAGCTCAGAGTTAACATGTGTCTCTCCAATCCGAACGTGGTCGGTCCTTTCAGAATGGCGCTCCCGCTGCAGCGCTGGCTCCATTTTCGCGTCGTCAGTCCGTCCAAATCATGTTCCAGCTGTAGCGCTGACTTCATTCCAGTGTATCGCTTCTTCCAAATCGTGCTCCTGCTGCAGGGTCGGCTTCGGCTCCGCGCTTCCAGTCCCTCCAAATCGTGCTCCCACTGCAGCGCTGGACTTATTTCCGCGGCTTTGGCCCTTCGAAATCGTGCTCCCGCTGCAGCGCTGATCTCAGTTTGCGCTTCCCGCTTTCCAAACCGTCAATTTGCATCTCCCGTCCTGTGCCATTTCTGGTTTCCCTTTGGCCTTGTTCTCGACGCTATGCCATGCTATGCCGTGTTATACCATGCTTCGCGTGCTCTCTCGGGATCATTGCCGTGTTCGGCCTCCGAGTGCGCGAATAGAGAGGATATCCACGCAATTGTAAGGGATGGGGGGAGGGGTAGGACGTCGGATATGACGCTTGCGCACCTAGCTTGTCGCCCTCCCCTCTCTCCATCTCCTCCTCCTCCTCCTCTTCTTCCTTCTCCTTCCTTGCTTCCAACCTTCCTCCTCCTCCTCCTTCTCCTCTCCTCCTCCTCCTCCTCCTCCTCGTATTATTATTCTTCTTATTATTGTGATGCTTCTTATTATTCTTGAGATTATCATTATTCTTCTCATTATTCTTCTTTTTCTTCTTCTTCTTCTTCTTCTTCTTCTTCTTCCTCCTCCTCCTCCTCCTCCTCCTGAGAGAGTAGGGCCCAGGCGAGCCCCTTCTGCGAGGCTGACGCTAACTCATTAGCTCGAGCAGCCCTGCACGCTGTCGAAACGCCCCTCGGCGGTTCTCGTCGCAGGCGGCCTCGGCGGCGTTAAGGCCCGCGCCCCCTACATCTCCACGCTTCGCGTATCCAGACCAGCCCATTCAGAAACCCTACCCATGAGAGCTGACGGGGAAATGGGCGAAGACGCTCATGTAGTGGCACAATATGGGCAACCAGGGTGAACGGAGAGATCTCTGGGAGCAAGGGTGTGGCCTTGGATGGCCTTTTCGGGCCATCCCTGGGGCCCGCGCGGGGGCGAGGGAAGGAGGCGGATGAGGAGGCGGAGGAGGACGAGAAGGAAGACGACGATGATTACTACGACGACGACGACGGCGACGGCGACGGTGACGGCGACGGCGACGGCGGCGGCGACGACGACGACGACGACGGCGATGGCGATGGCGACGACGACGACGACGACGACGACGGCGACGATGACGACGAAGACGATGACGACGACGATGACGACGACAACGACGATGACGACGACGACGACGACGACGACGACGAGGAACACGAAGCGGAAGACGATTAGGGCAAGGACGAGGACGGGGACGTCGAGGATGAGGACGAGGGCATGGCCTTCAAAATTGCCTCATGGAGCCCTCTTGGGACTCTTTTGGGGGATCTTGGGGTCCTCTTGGGGCTCGTTTCGGGGGTCTTGGTGTTCTCCTGGGGCCCTCTTGGGGGTCCCTTGTGAGCTCTGGAGGGCCTCGTGGGGCCATCTTGGAGGCCATCGATCAAAAGGGGGGTGTCCTCGATTTGCGTTCTCTCCCTGGGGCCGCTCTTGGGACGCTCTTGGACCGATCGTGGGCGTTCTTGGGCTCGTTTGGGGGGCCTCTTGGGTCTCATGTTGGGCTCTCTTGGGGCACTCTTGGGCCATCTTGGGACAATCTTGGGGCATGAAAAGCGCATCGGAAGCGAACAACCGAGAAGGCAACAATCATTGATGCTCCGCGGCGTTTTGAAGGATTTTGGCCTCTTGGGGTGGTCCTTTGGAGGCTTCGAGAGAGCACTTGAAAGCGTCTTGTGACCCTCGTCGGGCCTCTTGGAGCCATGCCGGAAGCTGTCTTAATCCATCTTCGGCTATCGCGAGCCGCCTTGGAGGCCATCTTTGAGCATCGGAGGCTCTCTTGGAGCCATCTTGGGCGAAAGAGGCCCCTCTGACACCTCGTGGCATCCGCCAGAAAACCTCAGTGAGGGGAGGGGGAAGGTACCCCTCCCCGAAGGGAAAGGGCTTTTGGAGAGGAAACAAAGAGCTCTTTAGACCACCTTCGCCCAAAGGGCTGGGATTGTGAAGCTCCAGTGTTCTCCTCCTCCCTGGCTCAAGGCGTCTCGGCTCAAGCGAGCGGGCGACGTCTTCGTCAGTCCCGCTGCCGTTGCCCCAGGGTACCTTAGCTTACCGCATTGTGCGCTTCGCTCTGTTGCCCTGAGCCTCCGCAGCTGGGCTGACGGTGGGTTCTCTTCTTACTTTCCGACCCACACCCGTTAGGTCTCGCCATGGCAGGTGCTGCAAGCCTCGACTCGCTTTTCCAGGGGCTGGTAGAGGACGAGATCAGCTGTCACCACTTCCTCGTCCAGGCGGCCACCACGACCCCCCCGCCAAAGATCCACCTCCGGAGCGAGCTGAACAATTGGACGGCGCTTCGGGAGACGCTCCAGGCATTGGCGTACAACCTGAGCACTGAGGACCCTTGGATCCGCCTCGGCCTGCCGAAGGACGAAGGGGGGGCGCCTACCCAGGAGCTTATCGACCAGCGCTGCAACATGGGCGCGCTCTTGATGACCGTGGCCGACGCGGAGACTTGGACGACTGAGGACGTGGGCAGGGCGAAGCATTTCACCGTGCTGTTGGAAAAGGCCCGGGAAGACTGTACTGCCGACCTTGGCCGGGTACTTCGGGAATGCCGCCGGCGCAAGGGTGGAGCCGACGCCGTGCCACGTTGGCTTGAACCCAGTCCTGACCTCTTGTCTTTCTTCGTGCAGCGCTCGACACAGGACGATGACAAGTTGGCCCTCCACCTTTCCAATTTGCCAGAGGTGGCGCTGAACAGCTTCTCGAAGGTGGTGCCGATGGAGACGTGCCGCACGTTCTACCGCCTGCTGAACAAGGGTGGTACTGGCTGCACGGAGCTGCTAAACCTTCTCCAGGGGAGTGCCACCATGTTATGGGCACCTGACGACAGGGACGTTTTCCAGACGTTTATGGGCATGTTCCAGAAGCGGGCGCTGACCTCCCCCGAGCCACTCGCCCTCACCTGGGTCATCCCGCACGCCCCCTTTCCGGGATGCTCTTCCCCAGAGTCCATCATGGAGTTGTGGACACACCCCATCTTCAGCGGCAAGTGGAAAGCTCTCGTCAAAAAGGTTGAGTTTCTCAGGCAGCCAACCAGGGGCGTCTTCTCGGGTTCAGTTGCCCCTCTGTACCACCTCAAGTCGCTTGTCTTGGTCACGGTATCTGGTTCTGGTATGTGCGAGCAGCCTTGTATGGTGCAGTGGAGGCCCACGATCGCTGACTTCGACTCTGGGCCCGCCATCTTCGTAGATTGTACTGCGGACGACTTGCAGACCACCCACCGGACTATTCTACGCACTTCTGTTCCTTCCCCCGGCTCTGTGGAATGGTCCGGCCCCGTGCGGAGCTTGAACTCGGGGAGGGCGCCAACGCTTCTTGTTTATCGGCTTCTTTGAGAAGGGAGCGGTGACAGAGCTCGACATCCGTCTCTACGCACGTGTGCTCAAGGGGACCACCGAGTTACGCGGATGCTTCATCGGTTCCCGAGCCCTGTTCTCCAACAAGGCCGCCATGTTGGTGGACATGGCAACTCCCGAGGCGCTCTCCGAAATTCATCACCTGACGGAGGAGGTGGTCTTGGCCTCCAGGCGCCTTGCGGTGATGACCACGGGGCGGTCGGCCCGGATTTGGGAAGATGCCATCACGGCGCAGAACGAGTTGCATCCCACCGAGGCTGTCGAGCAGATCCGCTTCCGCTCCTCGCATGCCGGTGGTCGTGCCTGGGTCAAGCCAGCCATTCTCACAAGCAAGATGAAGAAGGAGCGATCGAAGGCTTTGGTTGAGGCAGCGCCGCACCACAGGGCTGAATACCTCAAGCTCCAGGCGACCCTCATTATACAAGGAGCTACGTCCGGAGCCAGGCATGGGGACCCCAAGGTGATCATGCAGAAGATCGCGACCACGACGCGCCAGGCCTGGAAGCTACAGGAGGGGGCGGGCGACCTGCAGCCCATGGAGTGGACAGCCATGGTCGACGGCTTCGGGCAATGGCTGGGCAAAGTCCTTCTTCAAGCGCGATCCCAAGAAGATATTGCACATTTGTTTGCGGAGGTCCACGGCAGCGGCATCGAGATTGATGGGATCTGCCACGTGGTGGAGGTGGAGAGTAACCACGTGCGCCTGGACGGCACGTGCATGCAGAACATGCCTGGGGAGCCTTCGCGCTCTCGTTGACTATCTGGGGATAGCGGGATTCAGCAGGGGGGCACATCCGGGGGCGCGATGTGCGATGCACGACCTGACGGCCAGAAGCGTCGTCGCATATGTACTGTTACCTCCTCTTCTCCATGTTTGTCTTCTTCTGCCTCTACCAGCTCACCACCTGCTACTTCTTCTCTTGTCGAGTTGAGTCAGGATCATCCGCGGCATGCCTCTCTACCACAGGCCGACATGCCTTTCACCAAGGACTTTACGGGGTCTTCGTGGAATGGGCAAGCGTTATTTGCTAAAAAGTGCTATCGGCATCACCCTAAGATGCGTCACGCCCTCCGCCTCGGAGTTCAGCATGTCTGTGCGTTGCTGCAGGAGACCCACAGCTCGGATGGGAAGTCCGCAGCCCTCAAGTTGCCCTGGGATGTATCATCATTTTGGAGCGATGGCACCTCGCACCAGGCTGGCGTAGGGGTGCTGATCCGACATTCTTTTCTTTCGAATTTCAACCCTTGTTCTCAGGGCGACTGGGAGGATATTGTCCCTGGGAGGGTTGCTGTGCTTCACCTTCGGGGCCCCCATGGCGCCCTCGATATGGTGTCGGTCTACCTCCCCACTGGCCCATCACAGGGCGCACAGCATGAGCGACGAGAGTGTTTCAGACGTATGTCTCAACAGATTCGGCCTTCTGACAAGGTGTTGACTGTTATGGCCGGCGACTTCAATTTTGCGACGGACGCTCGTGACAGGGTGACCAAGAGCACGGGGGAATGGTCAGGGGCTGGCGACGCTCGCAACGCCAATGACTTCCAGCAGCTTCTCGGCGACCCTTTCGAGTTCCACGAGTTGGAGCAGCCTTTCTTTACGCGCGACTGCGCGCTTGCACGGTTGCGGCTGGATGGGGTCTACACCAACATGCGCGTGGCTTACCAGCTAGACCGGGATTGCTCTTGCACGGCGCTGGGCTGGGCCAAGGGGCTGTCTGCCCACCGGCCGATCGCATTTGCGCGGAGGCAAGGTGCCAAAGTTTTTGCTGGAGACCGCCCGTTACCGACGACACCGATGGACGACCCCGATTGGCCCCGGCGCGTGAAGCTCGAGTTCCAGGAGCTCCAGAGGACGGACGACTTCCCAAGCAGCGCTGTCCGGAGACTCATCTTGCTGAAGCAGGCGATTCAGACGGTGACCCTGAATATCCACCAGCGCTCGCTGGCCCAGCAAGCGAGGACATCGGAGGACAAAATTGGCTGGACCATGGTCTTCCTCCGGGCAGCCGAGGAGGTGCGCATCAAGGCCATGGCGCGCTGTGTTCAAGCATACCCCCCACCTCGCCACGTTGACAACCCCAGGAGACCCAACCACGCGCACGTCGGCATCGATGGTGCGGGTGCGGGAGCACGCTGTGGAATTGGCACGCGGAGCGGTGACTGAGGAGTTGACGGCGCTTCAACAGATGCCGCTCGATGACGATATTCGTCGTCGCACTCAGCGCAAGGAACACATCTTGACCAAGCTGAAGCGGTTGCTTCCTGGTGCCTCCACGTCGCTGAACGCGCTGGTGGACGAGAACGGGCGCATCACCGACGACCCCGGAGAGATGGCGAGCATTCTGCGTGGGCATTGGGGGCGGGTCTTCGCCCGACGCACTATCAACCGCGACCTCCTGGACGCTTGGCTTCGGGATGTCTTCCCCGCTGATCGCCGAGGGCACCTGCCGGGCGGACTTCTGAGCAGTAATTCCTCGAGGTGGCAGGTCCGTCGACAAGACGTTTCCCGGGCAATCAAGCTATCAGGGAACAGTATGCCCGGGCCAGATCATATCCCTTACAAAGCTTGGAAGGTCCTCGGCAACTTTGGAGTCGACGTACTACGGCGCGATGGTGGATCTGATGCGGGACGACGCTTGCTCCACCCTGCGCAGTGCGTATCCGGGCGAGGGCCACGACTTTAACCTTAGCACGCTCTGCTGCTTACCGAAGAAGCCCACGGGCGTGGACGCCGACAGAGGCGAGTACTTCGAGGCGTCAGCGACCCGTCCGCTGGCGATAGTCAACACAGACAATCGCATTATGGCGAACGCGGCGCGGCTCCGGCGGGAGCCAATCTTCGACGCCTGGGTCAGCAGGGCTCAGCAAGGCTTCCTCAAGGGCCGCAGCATGCTCCAGAATGTCGTGGACGTGGACTACGAGGCCATGACCGTGAGTTTGACGGTGGAGCACGGCGGCATGGTTCTCTTCGACTTCAAGGCGGCATTCCCCAGCGAGAGCCACGAGTACGTCCTTGGAGATCTGTCGTTCTTGGGGGTGCCCCGTCAGTGCTTGAACTTCGTGACGGCTCTCTATGATGACAACCGTTGTCGCGTATCCTGCAAAGGGAGCTTCCACGACGGATTCAAAATTACAGCGGGGATACGCCAAGGATGCCCATTATCTCCGTTATTGTTTGCCGTGGCCGTAGATGTTCTTCTCAGGCGATTGGACAAGGACCTCCCCGGCTGCATGTTTAGAGCTTTTGCTGATGATATCGCTTGTATTTCACGGGACTTCTTCAACGACGAGCGGTTGTTGCAGCATTTCTTCACGGAGTTCGCGGACATTTTTGGCTTGGCATTGAACTTGCCGAAAACGGTTGTGATTCCTCTTTGGGAGGTGAAGGGCGAACTATCTTGGGAGCGCATCGGTGTTGTTTCCCAGTTTTGGCACCGCGCGGAACTCCAGCTATGTAGCTCTTACCTGGGATTTCAGACAGGTCCGGACAAGGGCGACAAGTCTTGTGACCAACCTGGCCGTAAGTTCATGGACCGCTGCTGCCTCTGGGGTGCGCAACACCTCGGATTGCATTTCTCCGCAATGACATACAACGTGTTCGGCATGTCGGTTCTTTCTTTCGTTTCCCAGCTGGAGGCGCCACCAGAAGGCGTCCTAGCGCTGGAGGCGCAAGCTTTGCGACGAGCGGCCAGCGGCCAAGGGCCCCCGACGCTGGATCATGCCGCAGGATTGCTGGTATCTGAAAGAGTTGCACGGTCAAACCAGATCTTTCACTTCTCTTCGCACTAGGTCGCAGTCGGACTTCCTCCTCAGGAGAGCTGCTTGGGATTGCTGGTACGAACGTTCCCATGTGTTGGTGCTCACCAGGGCTTGGGACTATCTGGAAGCCCACGGCATTACTCCGAGTAGCGTGATGGCATCCATCTCTGGAGGTGTTCCTCAGCCGTGGCCGGCAAGCCTTTTGCGGCGAATTCGCAAACGTTTCCAACATGAAGTTCATGACCAGTTATTGCAGCAACTTCGCCCCGAGCCAGAAATGAGGATGCGCGCGAAGCTGCAGCGCTGGCACCTCGACGGCCTCCCGGGCCGGATCGCCCGTCGATCTCTGTCCAACTTGCAGCGGCTGGCAGGTCTGGTGGCCCCCAGGGTCCGGGCCGCGTGTTTGAGCACATTATGGAACAGGTGGACTACCGCACGGCGTTTTCAACAGAAGTATCGCGCTTGCAATTGCTGCATCCTCGGGTGCGGCGGGCAGGCCGAAGACAGTCTCGAACACTACTTCCATTGCCCGTCCATCAAGTTCGTGGCGCTCGCGTACCTTCGGATCCCTGGTTTTGGGAAGGAGTCTTTTCAGCTGGCCACTTCATTCGCGAACGACGAGGACTTGGTCTGCACTGCGGTTTTGATATATGCCGCCTACTGCGCCACCGACGCCTTCCGCGCGCAGGGCAGAGTCACCCCGGCGCTGGCGCGAGATGCGGTGGAGCAGCATTGCCGGAACGGTGTCTGCGGACATTTGTCCAGTGCCAGCGCGATCGATTCCAGATGGGTCGGTCACACAGCGCGTCGTCGACGATACGAGTAGATGCAGCTTGCGTGGTATAGTTTGTATATTATATATCATCCCTCTGCCTCCTTTGTTTACTGTGACAGTACATGCTAGTTCGTTAGATTGTTAATGCAACCTTCTGGGGCGGGGGCCCCTTGTTGACAACCGTGCCCGGTAGGAGCGCAAGCTTGGGCGCGCCCAGGTCCCCACCGCGCGCGGCGGTGGGCTTGCGGTTCCTTGCGAGCGGCGCTCTTGCTTCGCTTTCTCTCCTCCTCCTCCTCCTCCCTCCCCTCTCTCTCTCTCTCCTCCTCCTCCTCCGTGGCCGGCGTCCAGCCGCGGCCGCTTAGCTAGCTACCCAGTTTCGCTCTTCGTATCCTCTGGCCTGCGGCCGGCGCAGGGGGAAGGGGAAATTACGTTGCTATTAGCGTGATCGGTCTCTCTTTCAGGCCACGGTTCACTTCTTGAGTTTGCCTATCGCAGGTCGGCTCTTGGGGTGCTCCTGGTTTGCCTGGCGAGTCTTTGAATCGCATGGCGGCTGAGGTTGTAAGCAGTATACAGATCATTTGCTGAAAAAGAAAAAAGTGTTCTCCTCCTCCTTCCTTTCTTCTCCTCCTTCCTTTCTTCTCCTCCTCCTCCTCCTCCTCCTCCTCCTCCTCCTCCTCCTCCTCCTCCTCCTCCCCCCCTTCTACTGCCTATCCCCCTCCGTGGGCTACCCCCTGGCCTCTGGTCCGCCGAGGAGCATGGCAGCGCTGCCCGCAGAGGCAGTAACAAATTCGTGGTCGGCCTCTTCGGCGCGCTGCTTATGTCGACCATGGTCCTCACAGGCATTTGATTGCGAAGGCCTTACGGCCAGTGCCGCCGGCCCTGAAGGACGACGACGACGACGACGAGGACGACGGCGACGGCGATGGCGATGGCGATGGCGATGGCGACGCTGACGGTCTGGAGCCGAAAGCTTCTCCCAGGGAGGGGTGCTCCCCCCAAGGCATTGTCTTTCTGATTGGCTACCTGCAGAAGGAGAACGAGGATCACGGGCTCCGAACTGGTAACCGCGAGATCCTGGCGTCGCATTTTTTTCACAGCGGGCGTTTTCGTCCGTTTTCGGGCCCCAGGACCCTCACAGATCGATCTGGCTCGAAAAGTGACGCAGAGAGCTGGGGTCCAGCGCTCTGGTTCTGATTTTTGCGACGTCGCGTTGGTTTTGCTGCGTCGGATCTCAGGGAACTGGTAAGGCTTCGGGGTGCGCATAGGCAGGCTCTCCTGGTAGTATCGTCTGGCCTCCACAAGCCCCCCCCCCCCCGAGCAGTCCAGGGTGTTCTGGGCACCCTTGCGCCGCCTGCGGCGGCGCTCCGTTGAGACCTCTCAGGGCTGCTCGGGGATCTTGGCGAGGCCAACCAGGACTGCCTGGGGGACAGTCTGTGCGCAACCCGAAGCCTGACGACTCCGAAAATCGATGTGGAAGTGACGAGTGCACTCATAGACGTCTCGTGCTGGATCCTGTGGTGATCCTGTGTGCCGGCTGGAGGTCCCAGAACCGCCGGGTAAATGCTTGGGCCAGTTGAGAACGTAAGGGCCGATCGGAATGGTCCATGTCTTGATTCAAGGGTTTGCTTTGGAAAAGTGTGGAGGTCGTCACAGTGCTTGTTTCCCCACCCGAAACTTTGGGGTTGTTGTGTTCGCGCACCCTGCATACTGCGGCCACCAGGCGCAAAGCGTGCCAGCGCTTCCTGGGTATCCCGCCTCGCGTCTTCGACAACGGACGACTGCATACGAGGCCGCCAGGTCCAAAGTGTGTCTGCTCTCCATGGATAACCCGCCTGGCGTTTTTGGGTGGGGATCGCTCGGAGCAGAATCATTGTCATACATCTTGTTTGGGACCTGATCGGGCCAGCGCTTTTCGCGACACCCCCGAGGCCCGCAAGACCGCGATGGTGGAGGCTGGCATCGGGGGCTGAGGGTCCGAGGCCGCGGCGTCGCCGACATGCTCCACGTCCTTGATGGACCCCGTGCTTCGGAAGCAAATGAGATCGGAGCCTTACGTGCCCTTGCAATTGCGTCTTTAGACTGCACTAGCGTGCGCTAGCGTCTGGTCAGATTAAGCCTCGATTTGCGCCGATTCAGCGTCGGGTAGCGCCGATGTGTGTCGATTAGCATCGATCTAGCGTCGACTCGCATCGATTAGCGTCGGTCAGCGCCGATTTGCAAGAGCCAGCAAGATGGCACGGAAGGCTCCCATGAGTTGCCACCGAACCTTGCGTGCCGCGCTTGCTGCCTCCGGCCCCGGACCACAAGCGTCGCAGTCGCCCCTCCGTTGCCCCAAACTAACGCCCCGAGTCCATCCCTTCAGATGCTCCCCCAGGGCCGAAGCGCTCCCATGGAGAATAGGGCAGCGGGACCCATACGTGCCCACTGCCCCCTGGACAGGCGCATCCGGGGCTCAGGAGCGGTGTGCGCGCCCCCCTGGCCAAGCCAGGAAGTCGTGTATGCACCGCTTCTGGGCCCAGCATGGGCCTGGCCAGGAGCGGGGGAGACCTTCGGATCTCGTCGCCCTAGAGGAGGAAAGATGAGGTTGCCACTCCCCCCTCCGACATCTACTCGTTTGTTCGCTTCTTCTTCTTCTTCTTCTTCTCGCCGTCCCTCTCTGCCCCATCCGCCTGCTCCTCCTCCTCATCCTCCTACTGCTCCTCCTCCTCCTCGTCCTCCGCCCTCTCCTTGTCCTCCTCGTCCTCCGCCCTCTCCTTGTCCTCCTCGTCCTCCTCGTCCTCCTCCTCCTCCTCCTCCTCCTCCTCCTCCTCCTCCGCTGCCCCTGCGGGGCGCCAGCCACATACACAAAGAGCGCACCAGGCCAAGGAAAACGTACCATAGTCAGGACTGTCCGGAGCTCCGCGCGGCTTTCTTGGTCGGCGTGCGGTCCCTCCTGGCCTGGCCAGCTGCGAAAGAGGCGCTGCATGCGAACCGAAGACGAAAGGGCAGCACAGCTGCAAACTTTCAGAGCTCCGCGCGGCCTTCTTGCCTCGGCGCTGGGCCCCCCCGGCGCCGCCTCTGGCGCCGCCTCTGGCGCCGCCTCTGGCGCCGCCTCTGGCGCCGCCAGGGAGGGGGCCCGGGGGGAGGTCCGGCTCCGATCCTAGAGATCCGCGCGGCGCTCCGAGAGCTTGTGTTTGTGCTGCTCTTCGTCTGCGGTTCGCATGCAGCGCCTCCTTCGCAGCTGGCCGGGCCGGGAGGGACCGCACGCCGATCTCCCCGCCCACAGGCTAGCCTGGGCCAGTCTCGGTGTCGGAGTGCGGCTGGTGCCTTCCCCGCTGGCCGGCTCGCTGCCGTGTCTTCTGCACACTCTCTCTCTCTCTCTCTATTGATCGGTCTGCGCGCCTCTTTCTCTGCCTGCTTGCCCGTCGGTCGATCGTCTGTGCATCTCTTGATTTGGTCGCCCTTCTGCTCTCGCGCCTGCCTGCCCTTGTGTCCGGCACGGGCTCTCTCTCTCTCTGTCTGTCTCTGTCTGTCTGTTTCTGTTTTTTTTCCTCGTCCTCCTTGATTGATCCTTTTCGTCATCTCTGATCTCCTCTGTTCCGATCTCGTCTCTCCTCCGTCCTTTCCTGTGCCAGTATCTTGGCGCTTCCTGTTTCCAAGTGCTGATGATGCGTGCGTGACCTTGTCGATCGCGTTGCGATTGTGGGAACAAGCCTTCCACCTTTCAACCATCTTCCTTCCTAAGCACCCTGAGGGCACAGCACAGTCAAAGCGCATAGGAAGGATGAGCCACTCTCCAAGCTTACCCTTGCATCCTTCCCCTTCGGCGCATCCTTGACCACGTTCGCTGGCCGCGCCCTGCTCGAAAGGTGTCGATATGGCCTTCCAAGGCCATTGCATCCTTACCTCGCATCCTTACAGTCAAAGCCGATGACAAGGATGGGTAATCTTCCCAACGGTACCCTTGTATCCTTGCCTCTTCGGCCCGTCCTTGACCACTTTCGATGGGGGCCAGCCGCGCTCGAAAAGTGTCGGCATGGCCTTCCAGGGCCCTTCCACCCTTCCCGCGCAACCTTATTGTGCGTTTTGACTGTATCTACTGGCATCGTCTTCTTCAAGAGAGGGCCTACGTCTTGCGGCCGGTGCCGCCGACCCTGAAGGCGGACGACGACGACAACGAAAAACAGCTCCTCCGAACGACGAAGAGACATGATTGTTTTACCTTCTTGGGGTTGTCTTGGGAGTGCTCTTGGGGCTCTCTTGGGCCTCCTGGGGGCCGCTTTTGGGCTCCGTGGGCGCCTCTTGGGTTCTCCTGCTGGGGGCCTCTTGGGGCGGAAGGCACGAAATGTCGGTTGGTGTTTTCCTTCTCGGGAGCCTCTTGGGGCCCTCCTGGGGCCTTATTCGGCCGTCTTGAGTGCTTCTCGGGCGGTCTTGGGGCCGTTGTCGGCCGCTTTCGACTGCCTCTTGGACCGTCTTGGGGCGTTTGGGTGGCCCCCTGGGCCGTCGAGGAACGCCCAAAGCCCGAAAAGGTGAGGACGCGAAACGCACTGAACCACTAAACGAGAATCGTTGATTTTCGCCTCTTGGGGCCCTCTGTGGGCTCCTCTTGGAGCCCTTCGGGGCGTTTTGGGGGCCCGTTAGGCAGTTTTGAGGATATCTTGGGCTGTCTTGGAGCGATCTTAGGCTGTCAGGGCCCTCTTGGAGCAAGCCGCGGTGCAAGTGAGCTCGAGGCGTCTGAGAGGCAATACATCGGGGGGAGCTTCTCCCAGGGAGGGATGTTCCCCCGGGGGGGGGGGGGGGTTGCAACCCAAGGGACCCGCTGTGAAAACCCCACGGACCACCCCCTCGGACAACCCCCCTCCAGCGGGGGATGGAACAAAGGGAAGCGGCTTGTTTTCCACTCGATTACGACGTTGCTCGATTGTCTTCTGGCTGGGACGTTTGAGCAGGAGGGCCCAGGGGCAAGGGGGGTAGCGGCGACGGCGACAACGACGGCGGCACAAACGGAAAAGCGTCAAGGGAGGGGAGCGGCGACGATGACGACGACGATGACTCAATCAGAAAAGCCTCTCACACACGCCGACAGGGTCGGCGGATTTATTGCCTGGAGGAACATACACGCAGCCGTAGGATGCGTTTAAAGTTCTGTGGCTTGTAAAGGTCGCCCCCGCTGTGCGCGCGTGCATGTTCGTTGCTGAACGTTGCTGCGAACTCGCACGTGATGTTCAGAGGCTTCTTTTGTGAGTTGCGATTTCTCGATTGCGGATCGTTCGGTCGATCGGTTGTTCTGTTGTTAAGTGGGCGGGGGCTGGGGGGCCGGCATCCAGCCAGCGGCTTCCTTCACTCGGGGTGGCGGCTGTGGGAGGCCGGTGGCATGCGCCCCCTCCCTCCCACCCCCGCAGCTGGCCTCACTTTGTTGTCTCCCCCCCTCCCAGCGACCTGCCCTGCGACACATCCGTGATCCGCCCCTCGACGAGCCACGCGACCACCCGCGCCCCGCCCCGCGCCCCGCCCCGCGCCCCGCCCCCCGCCCCGCCCCGCGACGCTCCCGCGACGCCACCCGACCCGCGATCCGCGTCCGCTGCGACCCACACACCCACTCGGCCCGCTGTCACTGCCGCGAACAGGAGGATCGACGCCCGCGGCGGGCCGACTCGACATCGGCTTTGGAGCATGCCCGTGTGTGCCCCACCTCCCGCGGCTTCACCCACGACCGCCACCCCCTCAATAATCCGCAGGCTGCGGGGGGGCCATGACGTGTCGTGCGGGCCCAGCTTGCCAGGTCCAGGAAGAGTGGCCCAGGTCCAGGTCAGTGCCTTCATGGATCTTCAAGCTTGCCGGCTTCTCCGTTTGCAGAGCGCTGGGGACGTGCCATCAAAACCGCACTGCGGTGACTGCATTATGCCGGCAGATGCCCGCAGAACGAGCCCGAGCCCTCCCGCTGCCAAGGAGGGCGCCAAGAAAGTGCGCCAGCCCCCTGATCGGCCAGGCGCCACCGTGTCGCCTGCGGCGGCTCTCCGCCGCTGGCAGTTACAAGGCGAGCGGGGCGGCCGGCGCAGCCCCGGCGACCTCCGGGCCTCGCGCTCTTGGGCGCATCGAGAAAAGCCCTTTTTCTCCTCCTCCTGCTCCTCCTCCTCCTCCTCCTTCTCCTCCTCCTCCTCCTTCTTCTCCTCCTCCTCTCGGGGGGGCAAATGGTCATGATAATGACACGTTCCAAGACTTCCATAGGGCTTCCCAGATTGCCTGAGGTTCCACGCGGGCTGTAGAAACGAGGGCCGCAAGGAACTCCAGAAGTCCTGGAACGCATCCTGATCCGATCGCATCATGGCATCATGCTCGTCCTATCCTCACCGCCCACCTGGACGGCCCTTGGCGCTCCTTGTGGACCGCACTGGGGCACCATCCCCCCTCACCTCAGTCGCCCGCCTCTGGCCGCCACCGCCTCACCAGCCTCCTCGTGCAGACCTTCGCCCGTCCAGCTGCCGAGGCTGGCAACGGTCCTCGCCGCCTCAGCTGGCTTTGCGATCCCCGCGATCGCCCTGCCTGCCCGCACCCCGGAACCTCTCGCTAAACTGGCGTCTTCCTCCCCTCCTCTGCGTGGCCGCCCGCTGCCCCGCACGGCGTGCACCAGGTCCCCTGGCGACCCACTGCGCCCTGCTGCACACCACGCCACGCCTCTCTCCTCCTCACGCCTGAAGCGCTGCCTCACCGCCCAGGCCCGCCGCGCCACACGCTCCATGCCCGCCGGCCTGGCCGCCTCTTGGCTGCCATCGCTGCTGGTCCCTCGCCTTCGGCGCGTCGTGGCCCACGTCAGGCGTCGAGGCCGACTTCTTCGCCATAGCAGCAGCGCCCCCATCGGGAGGCCTCGGTTGCATCCTGGCGGTGCCCGTGGAAAGGCTCACTGTTCCAGAGTCCCCACCGTTGCCCGTTGTACCACCTTGGCGTCCCCGTAGAGGTGGTACTGGTACAGCGCCGACGCCGTGCCGACCCT